CAGGTGAGGTTTAGCCTCCTGATTCTGGGCAAATTTGCCAACGGCAAAGAGTGGCAATCATGGAGGTAAATTAGTAGACTGTAGTGTGCATCACCTCATCACAGTGTTCTTATTTTACATGGTGGCCAACTACAGCCATATTAAAAGGTACTTAGATCTCAGACATCCAGGCATAAACTGATCATGACAGTTATGTATGCTTGTATGAGGACAGTATGAAGGGTATTTCATGGCAACAGAATATGTTAATGTGGATATAAAAATTTAGGGGTTGTTGTCACCATTGAAGTTGATCCCAATCACAGGAGTGCACAGGTTCCTGCTGGAGGTACATTATGGGGAGCAGGATTTCACTTCCCTATCTTTTAAAATATTTATATATATATATATATATATATATGATATTTCTAAGGGATCTAAAAGGCAAATTGTGGCTACCCATGTGCAGATAGAATAGACAACTTCCGACAGCAATCGGGATTCTCAGGACTCTGGATATTGAGTCAACTCATGGGTACGTTACATGACTAATATTCCACCTCCAGTGGTGGCCAACACAAGACACTTTTATGCCTTCAAAGAGCATGGTGATGGGCATCATATAAAACTCTACATAAATAAAAACATGTTGTATTGACCACAGCTGGGGACAGGATATCAGTCATGGTGAATTAATGATCTGATTCAATATGGCCAGCCCTGTACTCTCAAGTGCAACAGACAATTATCTGTTCCTGAGCAATTGCAATTTGTCTTAGTAGGTCATATTAAATAAAAAAAAAAACTAAACTGGGTTTCACATAAGTGCTCTATTTGCAGTTACCACTTCTGAATTTTCCCCTACACTGAGAATGCTTGGAGCGAAAGCACACAGTTTTTCAGTCCAATAGTAGAAAAGAGTAATATCAGACTTGTATGGGTCCTGTATATACTGACGGTCTTTCTGCCGCTCAGTACTGGAGTACTGGTACAATTCTTATTGGTGCTGGTGTCAAGGAGAAAACAGATCTGTTAAACTACTACAGTATGTTCAACAATGTTTTGGCATCATGGTTAAGAGGATACATGTGCGGGGCTTGAGGAGAGGAGCGAGGGTTGGAAGACTGACACGTTGCACAGGTCTGCTGGATTCCACAAAGAGAGTTACTGAAAAATATTAGTGAGTACTGAATAACGTCTGAGGTAGATTTAGCCAGTGGGCCAGCATACTGTATTTAATATACCACAGGGGACCGGCAGGCTCAGGGAATTAGCAATGGGATATGGAACTTACCACCTCTAGTTTAGCAGTTTGCAACCACTCTAGATCAGCAGTGAGTGAAAGTTCTTACTTTCTGAAAGTTCATAGCTTTTCTGTGACCTACATGCAATAATTTAGGGATCTCAGACCAGCTGCTAGAGACAGCACCACAAAAACTATCACCAGAGCTAGCCCTCTACGGTTGTATTCTCAAGAGGCCAAGAACTGAATGGGGTCTGGAGAACCTGTCCCCCTTTCATCTTTCCAGGTTAGGTTTGAGTAGGGTGACCAGATAGCAAGTGTAAAAACTCGGGACAGGGGGTGGGGGTTAAAGTTGCTTTTTTAAGAAAAAGCCCTCAAAATCGGGACTGTCCCTATAAAAGCAGAAGCAATTGCGTTCTCTGCAGTTTTCTCCTTTCCCTTAACATTCTGTCAAATGTTCAATAATCCAGTGCATTTATTTTCTTTACTTTCATCTCCTTCAGGGCTGACATCCAGGCACTTACCAGATATATATAAACTTTTCACTTTGCAAACAGACCCCTTTGTTAAGCAGTATTTTATGGGTCTTGTTTGCAGAGCCAGACAATGCTCTGACCTCTTGAATCACAGTTCTGTTAGAGAGATGGATTTCCATGCCTATCAAGGACAACTTGATAGCTCTGGAAAGAACCATGAAAAGGGGCACTGAAAACCAAAACGTTATTTATGCGTGAGAGGAATAAGGGGAAGATTAAAGAACATTTTGAACTTTGAAATTAGTAATGAGTTTGCCATTTAGTTTGACAGACCTCAGGGTTGTAATTATTGATAAATAAAATGGTAGCATGGAAAACTCCTTCTTTCTCATTCCACATGCTATTTGCTTTCAATTCATACCCCTCCATCCCCAGAAAACTGAGAATAGTAAGATCATTTGAAAAACCATCATTGTCTTGTGAATTTATTATGTGTACAGTACGAAGCAACTTAATCTTCTGCTCATCACAGTGTCACCAACTCTCAGGATTTTGTCACAAGTCTTCCAATATTTGGCGTATTTTAAAGCCCCAGCTTCTGGAGTCATGTAATTAAATGAGAATCTCAGCTTTCGGTTAGATAAAAAGTAAGATTCTAGCCACTGCAGTTGTGGAGAAAAGTTTGAAAATGTGATTTCTAGAGATTAAAAAATCAGAAGGCAAATTATTTTTTCAAAATCTCTTGATTTTGGGGGTCTGACTCATGATTTATTGATGCTTAGGGTTGACAATACTGACTCTCACTCCTGCTGAGGGACAGAACCCCAAACCATCAATGAAGGCCTCAAATGCAAATCTGCATTTCCAGCAAGTAGCTTTTTTTAATTAAATAATTTGACACCTCTGGCCTCAGCCTTCACTTGGGTCTCCCTTTTCCCATTCCACATGACTCTCCTTACCAGAAGCATAAGATTAATTCTTCCTCCAACCTTGCAATAGGGTAACGATAACAGAATATAAGCCTCACATGTAAGCAACACTAATGTAGAACCAAGACGCTTGCATGTGTCAGCAGAGTACAGAGGAGAATTGTTCTGCAGTTGCATGGTTGTTTCACAACATATGGGTGTTATGATATGGAATAAAATAATCATTTAAATTCTCTGTGTCTGGCCTTTGTTATTTGATATTTTGAGTTTTTATTAAATCACAGCTTGACAACTACACAGCAAAATATTATGGCAAAATAAAAGCTAGAAGTCCAAGATTAACACATATGATATCTTGAAGTTATGTATTATTAGTATGAGTCGTATAAAATGTATTGATATAGTTTCAGTAGAGAGCTACATCATAAAAAAGAATCACAAATTACGTGAAAAGGTAAGTAAACAAAAAAAGGATACAGGGTACCTCTTGCCACACTATCAAAAGAACACACACACACTTTTCCTTGTGGCTGACAATCTTCTAAAATACTATGAAACATTTATATCATTAAAAAAAAAAGTATTTTCAGTGAATGGTGAAAATCTTATCTTTCTAATATTTGGGCTGCAGCGCTGAGTAAGCCTGGAGTTTTCTTATAGCCAAATCCTTTAAGCTACTCTTAGAGTCCTGTAAATCTGAATGTCTACACACAACAGGAAGATCTCTGGTTTCCTTTCTTCTTTCCATCGCTACACTTCCAACAAGGTGCTCTGTATTGGTTGTAGATGGTAAATTTCAGTAGTCAGGATCCTCTTAATATGAAAGATGATGTCTAGCGGGAATGAAGATCATTACTTCAAGAAACAAACACAAACATTTGCTGTCTCTAAGGCTGTGCAAATACATACTCATTTATTTAGGATCCTTCAGGGCAATTTTGGGATCAGACTACTACTAACGAGGGCTGTCAAGCGATTAAAAAAATTAATTCCGATTTATCGTGCTGTTAAACAATAGAATACCGTTTATTTTAAATATTTTTGGATGTTTACTACATTTCCAAATATATTAATTTCAATTACAACACAAAATACCAAGTATACAGTGCTCACTTTATATTTATTTTTTATTACAAATATTTGCATTGTAAAAAACGAAAAAAATATTTTTCAGTTCACCTAATACAAATACTGTAGTGCAATCTATTTATCATGAAAGTTGAACTTACAAATGTAGAATTATGTACCAAAAATCTGCATTCAAAAATAGAACAATGTAAAACTTTAGAGCCTACAAGTACACTCAGTCCTACTTCTTGGTCAGCCAATTGCTAAGACAAACAAGATTGGTTACAATTTGCAAGAGATAATACTGCCTGCTTCTTGTTTACAATGTCACCTGAAAGTGAGAACAGGAGTTTGCATGGCACTGTTGTAGCTGGCGTTGCAAGATATTTACATGCCAGATGCACTAAAGATTCATATGTCCCTTTGTGCTTCAACCACCATTCCAGAGGACATGCGTCCATGCTGATGATGGGTTCTGCTTGATAACGATCCAAAGTAACGTGGAGAGACGCATGTTCATTTTCATCAACTGAGTCAGATGCCACCAGCAGAAGGTTGATTTTCTTTTTTGGTGGTTTGGGTTCTGTAGTGTCTGCATCAGAGTGTTGCTCTTTTAAGACTTCTAAAAGCATGTTCCACACCTTGTCCCTCTCAGATTTTGGAAGGCACTTCAGATTCTTAAACTTTGGGTCGAGTGCTGTAGCTATTTTCAGAAATCTCACATTGGTACTTTATTTGTGTTTTGTCAAATCTGCTGTGAAAGTGTTCTTAAAATGAACAACATGCTGGGTCATTCTCCAAGACTGCTAATAACATGAAATATATGGCAGAATGCAGGTAAAACAGAGCTGGAGACATACAAGGAGTACAGTCACAAATTTAATTGACGCATTATTTTTTTAATGAGCATCATCAGCATGGAAGCATGTGTTTTTGTTTTTTTGAGTTAATCGTGTGAGTTAACTGCAATTAATTAACAGCCCTACTAATAATCCAATTACTGGCCTCCTCCATTGCTTGTGCTCAAAAGTCTTTATAAACCTGGAGTCTCAAAGAGCTTCACGTTAATGCAGGATCCAGTTCATCATTGTCCTCCTCTTGGACCTTTTATCTCTTGTTCTGTTCCCCTCTTCTGCTCATCTAGCATGAGCCTTCTCTCTGACACTTCTCACAATGTTACCACTATTGGTGCAAGAGCCTTCTTTTCTGTAGCTCCTGCCATTTGGAAGCACCCTTCCAATGATCTTCCTCACTGACTATCAATTTTGAAATTTTAACAGAAAGTGTATTTTCAGTCTTGCTTACCTGTGTCTTAACATCTCTTTGCCATTCGTTATTCGTTAAAAAAAAAAAAAAAAAAAAAAGGAAGCAGTGCAGTTTTGATGTATTTTGAAAGGGAGTCTTGTGCACCCCTTGCATTCAAATCAAACTCCCCTCATCATAAGTTCATGCTGGCTGGGACAGATCTTCACAGGAAAATCCCCTTCTGTGGGAAGAACGAACAGGGTAAGAGGGAGCCTTATGCCCTTATTTCACCTGCTCTCTCTTGTTGATCCAGCCCATCAACCCTTCTAAGTGTTCAGGCTCACAGAGCCTAAGAGTCCATTCTGCTAGGTGGTAAGGAGAGTTTACCACTATGCCCAAGCAGCCCCAAGGACACACGTCAACCATGCCTTCGCGATTTTTTAAAAGACTTGTTTGAAGTTGCTTGTGACTGAACTCAGTGAGTGGCTGGAGGTTCTGGTTTACTCTAATAAGACTAAAAGAAAAGGAGTACTTGTAGCACCTTAGAGACTAACCAATTTATTTGAGCAGAGCTTTCGTGAGCTACAGCTCACGAAAGCTCTGCTCAAATAAATTGGTTAGTCTCTAAGGTGCTACAAGTACTCCTTTTCTTTTTGCGAATACAGACTAACACGGCTGTTACTCTGAAACCTGTCTAATAAGACTGCTAGCCAGACAAACAGCATGGGATGACATGCAAAGTCATCAAGGAACTTTCAGGATTGGGGGTGGGGGAGGCAGAGATGGCCTATGGAAATTAGGTAGGGCACAACAGGAGGGAAAGACGCTCCCCTGGCATGCAGGTATTTAAATTGCTGTTGGTGCCCAGACTTACAAGACTCCACTAGGCCACTAGACATATGTGTGTGGTGGTGAGAGTTTTGCAGACAGGAGCACACGAAGGATGGGCAAAGGGCTGCGTGGCCCCTGACATAAAGCTTCCCTCTTTTCTTTTCTGGGCTAAAGCCTGGGAGGGCAATGTCTATTTATTTTAGATCTTTATTTAGGCTATTTTAACCTAGGGCTGGGTAACAGCCAGATTAGAGAGGGTAAAATCTTGTAGTTACTATTTTTGTTAAAATAAACTGTAAAACATCCTCAGAGGCTGTCTGTGTTTCCAGCGTTTGCTGCTAGACCATACGGTGCTGGCAGAGAGAGTTCTCTGATCCACTCCACTGGCCATCAGAGAGACTTCCCCTCCTCTATAGCTCTCTCCTGTTTTATACTCCTGACAGACTGGGGAAAAAGGTGTGAACCCTCATCACCATTCTAGTCATCTTGTGTGTTAGCACACAGACAATGTTATCTTTATTTCAACACCTTTGAATAAGCTCATTAGGCTGTTTCCTCTCTGGCACTGCATTCAGCTGTATCATAGGTTCAATAAAAAACAGCATTTCTAGATATGCAATCTTTCCCAGCCACCCCACCACATTTCTTTGATATAACAGAGAGACAAGGTGGGTGAGGTAATATCTTTTATTGGACCAACGTCTGTTGATGAGAGAGACAGGCTTTTGAGCTTACACGGGGCTCTTCTTCAGGTCTGGGAAAGGTATTCAGATATAACACACAGTGTTTCAAAAGGAACTCTTGGAACCCCCCAGGAAGGTTTTGGGTAGACAACTTTTTCAGGATATTCCTTTAGGCCATCACTTTCCCCATCCTACCTCTTCCAGTCTATGGTCCTTCTGAATGTCTATTAGGCTCACCCTGTATCTGTTTTAAGTGCGAGGCCAAATGTAATGCTCGCCCTTTTAATAATATTTAAAGTTACTCTATTTTATTCCCATTTACATAAAACAAGATTACTCTTGGATGGTATGCAAATTGTATTAGTATACAATGGTATCATATTGTATTAGCGACTGTACTAGTGACAATGCTTACTAACACAGTCCATTAGACCAGCCTGGAGCACTGGGATTTCAAGATACTGAGAACAAAGCTGCCATTAAATATCTTTCTCAGTAAGGACACATGCACAGTAAATAAGACTTTTCCTCATGACTTCTTTGCTCCTGCAATAACTGCTCTTATTGAGAAATGTGGATCTGTTGCCTTCATCCATGAAAAGATTTATCAGCTTTGGCCTCCCATCAGTCTCCCCTCAAGGAGCAAGCTCACCAGTTCCTCTCCGCCTGGCTAAGCCATCCCTGCAACACTTTGATGAAGGAAAACAGATATACGCTCAAAAGCTTGTGAATCCTTTTCTAACCTCAAACTGCGCAGCAGTACAGCACACGGCTTGCAATGTGGCTAGGCAAAGGTACTCTATAAATAAAGATCTACTATTTAATTATACAAATGTGTAATGATTAGTCCTTTTAAGGCACCCATATTCTAATCTGAGTCTCTCCACACTACTGGAAGTTGTGACTGAACAGATAGAGTGCAGAGTGAGCTCTGCTAATAAAAGAGAGTTAACATCATAGCTGAGCATATGCCTACATTCACTTCCACGAGACACTACAGCATGCGTTCCTCAATTGCCTGATTCTTCAACACAATGCAACCCGTCTTATTAGTTCACGCCAACTACTCAGTTACAAATTGCCATCTCCAATTAGCATAGATCACAGTTTTTTTCTGATCCCCAATTAAAGTTACGAAAAGGAAATTGAACAGTCACATTACAAAATGAATATTATATTTTGAAACTATAAATTGAATATGAATTTTGGGTTGTATTTGATTTTAGAATGCAATCTCCTAAGTAACCATAACTAGATACATATCTTCCCACCTCTGCAAATAAAATACATGAGCCCAAAATCAGAATTTATACTATGCTGAACGGATTGAAGAGTTTCGCTTCTACAGTGTAGGTCCCTTAGAAATACCTATAACAGAGAGGTGCTCTCGTCATGTCACAGTCCTCCAGATGGGTGCCAAGCCACCAGCAGGAGCACCACCTTAGCTCAAACACCACTGCAATGAAAATTCACTGGCCTCTTCTTGAGACAATCCTCAAAGCTAGAAAGGTTATGTGGTCTCCATTAAGGCCTTCACTCTTCAACAGTACAGCTCCCACTATAAACTTACATCGGTTTCATGACCTCATTCAGGGGTATGAAAAAATCCACACCCGAGTGACGCAGTTATAACGACCTCATTCCCGGTGTAGACAGTGCTATGTGACGGGAGCTCTTCTTCTGTCAACATAGCTACCGCCTCTTGTGGAGGTGGATTAACTACTCCGACGAGAGAAGCTCTCCCTCTGGAGTAGAGCGTCTTCACGAAAGTGCTACAGCGGGGTAGCTCCATATATGATACCCCACTCCATTTATGACACATTTTACAGAAAAGTTATTTTAGAAGTGCTTTAGAGAGTTTTGAATTATTTTTACTGGCGCTATTTCCATATTTCTCCACCTATGAAACCAGACCACCTTAGTACTCTGAATCCAACTGTGCATGCCTTGGAAGCAAAGGATAACAGTAACTACTGTCTTTTAGAAACCTCTAATATTTCCTAAACCAGTTTTATACCTATAATATTAGTGTTTCAATAAAAGGTCCAATAACTTGGGACTTTCAAGGATTAGAAGCAAGTGTGCCCTATGTAATGGATAGCTGGGAGCATCCCTTTTCCAGTGGTATAAAACTACTTTTTGGAGCCCTTTTAATTCTAAGGAAGCAGGTGTTGCTGATTAAAAAAAATGTATTATGTAATACATGGCTGCTAGCTATGACCCAAATCCTTGTGCCTACACTGAGACCCACTGACTTCAGTGGGACTCGAGAAAAAGGAACTTGTATAAAAAAAATCTATAAACATCGTAAACCATTAGGTTAATGAAAGCAGTGTAAGTTCTCAAGAATGAAAAAATGTAGAAGATGCTATACCTGGTATTTAAGGTTGAACAAAAAATGCATTTGTATTTGACGAACAGTATATGATTCTGTAATTAAAGACTGTACCATAATACACATACACAAAAGGGAGGAATCAAAATTGTGCAAACAGCCTTAACAATATTCCCTGACTTTTGAGCATGCAACCATGCATACATAAATCTCTCAATCTTTATTATTTAGGTATATAGAATTTCCTGGGATGGTTGAAATTAAAAAAGAAGAAGAAATTTCATAAATAAGGAACTATTCAGCTTGACACCCTCAGAAAGTCTTGACACCCTACAAAGTCAGCAGTCAACAATCCCTCTCTTGCAGTCCTCAGGAACCAGGCACCTGTTATTGTATAAGAGGCTCAGTAGGGGAAGGAAAGGTTCCTGAGGATTTTCAATGGAAAACGCAAAAAAAGCCTTCTCAACAAGGGCCATCTCCATGACAAATTTCAGCTTTCTAGCTTTTTGGTACCACAGCTGTAAAAAATGAAGTTGCAGGCATTTTCTAAGAATATTTTATCCACTCCCTTTGTATTAAAAAATGTCTGAGCTGCTCTTGTTGGAACTTCCTAAAAATATTTACCTTAGGATGATTTCAGGCATCAAAATTGTAATATTCGTGAGTTCTTATGAAGAAGACTTAGACAAAGCTGAGGGAAATGGTTATTTATCAGAAGTAAGACTAATCCATTTGTAACGTCTGACCACTTTCTGGGAGTCTCCGTAGCACTGCAGCTCCTTGTGCTCAGTCAGGCTAGACGGAGCGGACTCCCAAGCATGGCTCTCTTAAAGAAATGTCCTCACAACAAATGTGACAGTTTGAGCATCAAAAAGTTTGAGATATGAGTGACTGAGAACAGGGTGTTCAAATGGAAACTCTTATGTAACTTTAAATAGGATACTCCCTTCTGGTAAAATGTGTGCACACATATATACATGGATTATAAATACTTAGGGTACATGTGACACAGAGGCAAAATGTGTATCACGTCTCCCTTTAATTGCTGTTCACTGAGGGTATAACAGCCTACTTCTGATACCAGCTAACGGAGTTGATCTGGCTCATGCAGTAGAGGACAATGCTTTCGTGTAAAGGGGTCGAACCTTGAAGACAACCCATGTGTGCGCGTGGAGGTCATTATACATATACACAAGTGTAATATATAGACATACACACACAAATGCTAAAACTGCACAATCAACTATGCATTTAGACATTAAACATTGATATTATGAGCTTATTCCTAATTCATGTGTGATTCCCTCCTAGTCTTTGAAAAATGAACTTTGGCTTCACAGAGGAATCCTGACATCTGAAATTACAGTGTGGGCTGGAAGCAGGAGGGTTGCT